TATGCAACAGTCGTTGACATTTCAGGTTACAAAACTTGTTTTGAATCGACCTTAATCAACACTTGAGTTCATAACACTCATCTGCCATATACATACTCACTTACAGATGATTTTATCATAAAGAGGAAAAAAAGCAGCCTCACCTGTTTCCAGTCACCGGTTACCAGGCAACCAGTTACCGGTTACCAGGCAACCAGTTACCGGTTACCAGGCAACCAGTTACCGGTTACCAGGCAACAAGTTACCTGTTACCAGGCAACAAGTACATTTCTTGTATCTATTGGATGTTGAAGAAGGTACACAATTTGTATCCAAGGCGTAATGGGTACATACACACAGGTTACAGGTCGTAAATAGGGCAATTATACCTGTCAGTTAAATTGTTAAAACGTGTTATTTGTTTTACAGAATTGGATTAAGTGCAAAATATAATGATCAGCTATTAAATGAATATAATATATCTTTCTTATCATGAGTCATCCTTTCATCATTCAGTAATATTGATTAACCAATATTACCAAATGGCACATGTGATCAACAGTGCACATGGTGTGAGAACAATGTGCATATAGTAATTTTTGGTGTGTTGTGCGATCACTGTGTAGGACTGACACCAGATATAGATAGCTAGTACCAGTACTTTGTAGTCATTTTTTTACCAATATCTTAAGATCGCATGAAATAGTTTGCAAAGCATCTGCATCACATACATGTATATCATTGTTCATTGTTTAACTGTTCATTGTCTGACTGCACCCAGCGTCCATGCCCGCTTCGGTACTAGCTATATCCGGTGTCAGTCCTACACAGTGACGACTGTACAAAAACACAACAATAATCTCACAACAAGTTCATTTAATGGATTATCTTTAATTAATTAATCCTGAAATGGCCTTTACCCATGAACTCTTCTTCAGTCTCCATTGTCCATACAATCATGTTTTGAAGAAAAACAACAACAAACTTATATATTTAGGGGGATATGAAAATTCTACCTTATAGGTTTAAATTATGGGTTGAAGCCTCAGCTGATGCTGTAGCTCTGTCCCAAATTCTACAGCCTGGCAGTTGGGTAGACTTTTCATATCCTTCATACTAAACTACAAAAGATAGACTTAATTACTTATCATAAATTGCCAAACAAGTGTTTCTCTATTATGATAATTGACTTTATAAACACTATTCGTAACGGCAGGCTTAATATTCCTGTAACGTGTCAGATTCACCTATTTGTTTTCTTATCTGAACTATAGACAAAAACTTGAAATGTTTCCACTTAATTAAAATCAGGCCCCCGAATCATGAAACGATCTTAAGTCTAAAATTAGAAACGAAAACGATAATATCCGCTGTCTTCGTGTCGAAGAGAGCTGGATACAAATTTTATGCTCACAACAACCAGAAGGTCCAAACATCATTATCTAATACTAAGAAGACACCGCGCAACACACCAGAGTCATCAAAAACTACAGTACCGAACAGTCAAAACTAGCTTTCCCCATGCATTACATGCAGGGGTCGACACTAACACTAGTCCGCTAGTCCTGGACTAGTAGATGTTAGCAAGGACTAGTTAAACACCTAGCCTAACAGGTCCTTTGGACTTGTGAAAAATATGATTACCCTCGACTAATATCAGCCCTCAGGCCTTCGGCCCTAATGGGCTGATATTGCAGTCTTGGGTTGATACTGGGTGTGATATGGAAAAGGGCATGTATTATTTTCTATCTATAATTATAGGGAATGGTGTATCAGAGTCAACCTCTACTGTATGACTAGATGAGAGACTGTATTGAACTATTGGATATGAACTGTTTACTATGACTATATGTCTTAATCAGGAATGTTTATCAATTTAATAACCGTGACGGATCTAGTTAGTTATGTACATAATTGAACTTGTACGTTATAGAGTTATACCGAACATTGTCTATATAGAGTAATTATCTGGTATGTTAACAATAGTCCATTGTAGGACGTCACAATATAAACTCATCCAAAATTTTAGTATTTTAGAGGAAGATTTTGTAGTCAAACTGACCTGATGAAGCCCAATGTTCGGGAGAAAGCGGTAGACCACACTAATAAACACAAGAAAACCAGTCTTTTTTAGATTTGCTCTTACTCTCCAATCGCCCTGATCATGCATACCTTCTGGTATCCAAGCACAGGACACCGGGACTTACCTATCCACCAATACTCACCTCGGCATTGGCTCTACCCTAAGACTTCATTAGTCTAAAACAAAAATTGTTTTAAAGTTTTGACTTAATAGCATAAAAGTGACGTCACGTCATACGTGATTGGCCAAGCAAAAACTTGAGTCTAAAATCATTTCATGATTGTTAATAAAAATGTCTCTGCCAATCTCAGGATGAGGCAGCCATTTTGAAATAACTAATTATCGGTTGCACAAAGAAGACTCGATCATAAAGGTAAATTTGTGTTCACTTTTCTTTGTGCATTTTATTTATACTACAATACATGTCAATATATATTATCATGTAGGATTTCCTTTCCCCTAGTAAATTAATGCTATAAATAACCATGCTCAATGTATGCTTAAATGAAAACAAGAGGCCCAAGGGCCTTAGCGGTCACCTGAGTAATATCATAGGTACTTTCAGGTAGCTTTATTTTATTGTTTAGATTTGATGTGGAAATCAGCATGTATACTAGTTAAGTGAATACAATACTTGTCATGTCATCAAAGGATAAGAATTTTAAAATATTGGTAAATGTTCCCTTTGGGGCCCTGCCCTAACCCCTTGGGATGGGGCAGGAATTCCAATTTTACAAAGTAATACCCTCATCCACCAAAGATGATTCTGACCAAGTTTGAATAATTTTCTGCTGAAAATGGATAAAATATACCCAAAAGTGTTATTTCCCTATATAAACTATATAGTAAAAACTTTACCCCCTCCCCAATGGGGAACGGATGGTTCAGGGGTCCTGAAATTGACTGTAGTACCTCCGAGTCTGGAGAAGAAGAATTTTAAAATATTGTTGAATTTCCCCTTTGGGGCCCGCCCTGGACCCTAGGGTTGGGGTAGGAATCCCAATTTTACATTTTAAAACTATCTTCCTCCAAGGATAATTCTCACCAAGTAAGAATATTTTCCTACAGAAAATTGTAAAAATATACACAAAAGTGTTTTTTCCCTATATAAAAACTAGTAAACTTAACCCCCTCCCACAGGGAAAAGGGATGGCCTGGGGGTCCTGATATTTCCAATTTAAATAAAGCCCCTGATGATCTTTCGATCCATGCAGAGAAAATTGCTGTAGTACCTCTGAGTCTGGAGAGGAAGATTTTTGAAATATTGGATAACTTGCCCTTTGGGGCACCACCCTGACCCCAGGGGTTTGGGAAGGAATCCCAATTTTACAATTTTGCAGCCTCATCTACCAAGGATGATTCTGACCAAGTTTGAGAAAATTCCATCACTGCCAATGGTTCTTGAGAAGAAATTGAAAATGTAAAAAGTTTACGCAAAACGGACGACGATGGACGGAAAGTGATCGAAATAGGTCACTTGAGCAAAGCTCAGGTGACCTAATTACATGCAAAATCAAACAATACAGTATCACAGTATAGATCCAAATCACTGCCATACAAAATGTATGATAATTTTGTTTAATATAGAATAGTAATATTATTCAAATTTTAGATTTTTTTGTTTTTTTTTACAAGCTCCACATATCGAGAAATGATGCCAGTATGGCCGTCACACAGGGAAGTCAATGATTATATATATATAGTGAAATATAAATTATACCTGGTCGATAGGACATCAATCCAGAAACATTTTTTAGTGAAGACAGAGATATCATAACCAGTGCCAGACTTTTGTTTTAAAGATTAACAATTGCAGCAGAACTTCGGAATTGAAATGACAAATAACAATCCCAATATAGTAATGTTAGTCTTCTGTGTGCTATAGCTAATACAATAGTCATAGGATCAGCCCTAGATTACAGTCTGATCTACTGTGGTAGTAATGTTGGACAAAAAGTAGTAAAAGTTGGAGTATTTCTGATATCTCTGATCTAAACTTTACATCATTCCTTTAAGAGTTCACAATATAACGAAATATATGATTCTTGAAATAGGATTTGGTAACAGTATTACAGCTTCATTCTTGTTTTTCTGGTCCCATATTATCTTGTTCGCTGTTCTTAATTTAAATCTCCCAGTCGCCTCGCATACGAATGATAAGTACAAAAGAGTTATTCTGTTTATCTGATCACCAGAAACTGCTTGTAAAACCTTAAAAGCATCGGCAAGATCACATTTATTTTTGTTAACTCATTCACCCCTGAAGTTTCATAATTTCATATTCCAACCTTTGAATTGGAAGAGTTCAAATGTGTCTTCAGGGGTGAATGAGTTAATTAGCAAACAGAATGAATAAATTCATTCCAATAGATTTGTTATTCTTTCTTAACGCCACAGTCACACAGACAATGCGACCCCTAAGCGACTTGTTTCACTTGTGATCGACTGGCAATCGCTGAGACTGGTGCAACAACATCTTCCCATATTTTACTTGAAAGTATTTAGTAAAGGTCTTGATCATTTTCATTGCAAACTTTGTCAGGCTCAATCCCCGCAGGAAGCTACAAGCCAAATATTAAGATTTTATACCTCTTTAGTTCTTCAGGAGAAGTTGATTGGAGTTTTTGACATATTTGACCCCTGTGACCTTGAAAGTAGGTCAAGGTCAATTTCACTCTCAAACTTTGACGAGATTTCAAAGGAAACGTACACTATAAACATCATGACTCTAGGTCTGTATATTCTTCAGAAGAAGTTGTTTAAAGGAAAAGTTGATAGATGATGAGGGATCGACGGACGACAGACGTTGCGCAATGACATATTGGGCAGGAGAGCTAAAATCAAATTCCTTTACTTATTTTGATCAAGTCAAAGGTACTTTATATCACAGTTTCAATAAAGTAGATTCGCTTCAGTAGATTTTAAGACACGCTTGACACAATATTCCAGACTATGTATTATTGCTCACACTATCTCAAACATACTCAAGTTGTAAATCAATGTCTATATATGTTTCTGATGTCTTTTGAAGTCACTTGTAACGAATGTTCACGTCTCAGTAATGCCGAGGTCGCATTAGTGACCAGAACACGGACACAACTTTCCATATAGACCAGCCAAAGACAAAAGGAAACAAAACTTTTTCATAATTGGACCTTCGGATGTTGTCTTCTTCCAGGAGGGTGACCTTGCGCGTGAGTTTTGCCACATGTGTCTTCAGTAGCGTAGTTTCGTCCTCTTCGTTCAGCAGCAATGACTCGTTCATGGAGATACCAGGTGTGTAAGGTTCCAGCTGAACTGCTGACCTGGTTCACGAAATATAAACATAAAATTTGTATTAGAATTGCTGAAACAAGTTTAACAAACAAGTTAAAATTGATAAGAACTGACAATTCCTGACAAACGTACCTCTCCATAACTGCAGTGAAACCAAAGTATTGATATATATACAGTCCAATTGATTGGCTAGCAATATTTGCTTTATTATACATTTTATCAAACACACAATGGGTAGGAATGGATTCCAAAATATCCTGAAGTTTCTTCACATCAATGATTGCAGATGTGTGGCGGAGAGAAAAGAGATTTTCTGTTAATACTACACGCTCTTGAATAAAAGTATTGATAAAATCATAGATGTATTATGTACATGTATATTTCGTGCCAGGTTCCTGTGATAAAAATGGTTATTTTTTGTGGGTTTTGAATGGCAGACTCCTGGATTAAAATCCTGTACTGATATACAAGTTTGGGTAAAAACCAAACCCTGTCCCAATTAAACACGAATTTTCCTAAACTGGAATTTGATGTGAAGGTCGCTTATCTAGTATTATGCTGTACATGATGTTTCTGTTAAAATTTGAATATGATTTAACAAGGTAAATTGTCAAATGTTTTATTCAATAGGGCAAAGGCGATTTTGAAGTGTGCAATTACTGTATACCGCAACTCTGTAACATGCCATTCTATACATGATTTTATATATATACAAATAAAAGTAAAATGCACTTAAAACATCCCGTGTACATCATCATAAATGTTGCTTGCAGCATCCTGGGTATGATCCATCGGTCAGATTTTGACCTTTATTGAGCTTTATCAATTGACAGTGTTCCAAGTAGAGAGTTATGCGTGGATGAGTCTCTAGCTATACATGTATATAGTACCAACATAAGGGCACAGCGTCCTTCGACAGTACATCTCATCAAAGGTGGAAAAGTATGGGGTAAAGTTTTGGGTACTTTGTGAGTCATCAGTACGGGTTATATTGTACTCCAGATAGAAGTCTACAGAGGACGCGAGTTTGACCCTACCCCCATTGGAGAACTACAAGGAACAAATGTAATTATGGAGCTCCTAAAAGAGCTTCTCTTCTCTATAAAGGGTATAACGTCTTTTGTGATAGCTTTTTCACCTCTATGAACCTTAATAGCTCGGACACATACTTCTGCAACATAACACATACTTGACAGGGTATATATATAGCCTCTTATCAATAGCACGGACAATATAACTTAATGACAATTTTGTATTACCCCATCCGATCCTCTGTCGAAATCAACCGGAATTATGAAGAAAAAATCCTTCAAAATGATTAAACTTGAACATGTGAGTCGCCGAACGTATCAAATCATAGAGGACGGTGTTAGAATTATTTTGTATCACACCTAGCTACTGGCTATGGGATTCTGGGAAGGGACAAATTGGGAGAATATGTATATTTTGTATAGTTTCAATAGTTTTTCACAATGACACATCTACTTATCATTTTTACGAATAATACCTTTGCACTCAAAATTAATACATTAGCTTGTATCTTTTCATAAATCAAACTGTATTTCAAAGGGACTTTACGGAAGAATCGGCCTACGCCTAACTTCATCAAACATGCGACGCGGGGACTACTTGAGCATGTCTCACTTCGGTGTGGAAGACAAGCCAGTGCGGGTCTTGTCGACAATTCTACCTGTACAAGATCTTGCATCAGGAAAACCCCGTGCCATTGCCTCATATAATAAGAATATGGGAGCAGTGGGTTCGAATGATGGTCTACTTCATTCCTACGGAAAGCAATTTAGGAAGTGTTGAAAAGTGTGGAAGAAAATGCTGCTGCATTTATTCCTCATAATTCTTATGAATTCCTATATGCTGTATAAGGAAAATACGATGCAGAAAGTTAGAAGTTGTCTGCAGTTTATTCAAATTGTAATAGAAGCACTCGCTGTAACGAAGAAATTTGAAACCGACAATCCACGCCGTCGAGTTGTTGCAAAAAAGGCTTCACTCATTGTTTTACCGCAAAAGGAGGAGAAAGACTGTTGTGTCTGTTCCTCGCGTATGCGCCATGGCCGTGGAATCCGTCGTCGGAGCATGCGCAGAACAATATATGGCATGGACTCCATAGTCAGTGCCTTAATGGAAGACATCTCAATTGCTTTGAACAATAGAAAGATTTAATCAACCGGAAATATCTCCTTTCCAAACATTTGTAAATCTCCTCGAACTCTTTCTCTTTTTTATATTTCCGTCTGTAGATTCTAGAAGACTAAATAGGATATTTAAAACTATTTCCTGTAAAATTATATATATTTGTGTTAATACTGGGAAAGATATACTGCTGACGTTTAATTGATCAAAATCGCTAACTAAACGCCTAGTAAAAATGTTTAATATTAACGAGACTATTTTTCAGCCACATATCAAGGTGTGGCATTGAATATTTGAATATTTCCATGTCTTTTAGATATTGTGTTAAAATATACTGATAATAATAATTGTCTGTGAAATTTGGTATTGATATTTAATTTACAGGAAAGCACTACGGTTACGTATGCGTAGCTTGAAATCGCTTTCAAAAGTACTGGCAGTTATAAACTCACCAAAACACTGCAAGCATATTTAACCGATCAAATTTTAGTCTAGATACGTACAGAGCTCCCGTAAAAATACATTTATGATCGATTTCTAATAACATTGAAAATACTACAAAGTACATGCATTAAAATGTATACATAATAGAGCCTTTTTTCTCAACTCAAAGTGTTGTCTTTATTAAAGTTGTTGATTTTAGCTGTACGTACCAGTCAGTACAGACTTGATTCGTATGGCTAGTTAAATCATCAGCAGTCATCAGATTAACCACCAACGAATTGACGATAACGAGTGTAATAATGATAATAATAATATACAGCATTTATATAGCGCCCTACATAATTTGTAAAATTACTCTAAAGCGCTTTACAACATATGGATAATAGTAATGGTTATTATAAATTGTGAAAACAAAAAAAAACAAAGGCTTATAATTCACTTTTATACATTTAAGCAAGCAATGTGCACATAATTGAACAAATAAAAGGGTGGTATTTACATAACATCTTTGCAAAGATTCTAAAATGCAGATGTGAAGAGATGAGTTTTGATGTTCCTTTTGAACTTGGCCAGGGTATTTGACTTTCTTATTGCAGATGGTAAGCTATTCCACAACATAGCCGAAACCCTCCCAAAGCATCTGTTTCCGTAGGTCACAGTACGAGATTTTGGGACACACAACAAAGATTCTGACTCCGACCGCAGTGATTGTGACGGCTGATACAGGGTAACAAGCTCCTGTAGGTACTTAGGAGCTGTTCCATTCAGTGCCTTGTACATGTATGTGTACACCAGAATTTTGTACTGCGACCTGTATCGTACAGGTAACCAGTGCAACGAATAAAGCACAGGTGTGATGTGCTCTCTCTTTCGAGTACGAGTAACTAGCCGTGCTGCAGTGTTCGTGAAAAAAAAAAATGTCAAAAACAGAATATTTAGTACTTAGTGGTATAGTGTCTTCTGTAATACCAAATAAATTTCACTCGTGTGCACGTGGCTAATATTTGATATCTTTCACTTGTGCTGTGCACTCGTGAAATGTATTTGGTATTTACTTAAGACACTGTTAAGATATCCTCTATTTATTATACACAACCTTTTATGAAACATTTATGTACACATTAAGAGGCCAAGTAGTTCTCTGGGCATGTTTAACTGGATCGAGTGTTGAACCTGAACTTACATGCAGTCACTGGGGAATATCTCAAAATCGAAAAAAAAAAGTTGTTTAAAATCTCAATTGAAAACTTTAACTTGCACTGTCAGCTTTACTATAATTTACAGTTGTGGGATTGTACAATGTTACACGATGTTTGGAGTGCGAATGGCACGTGTGCACGGGGTGTGCATCTATGTGTGCTCATATGACATTACACACGCTTACTGAATCATCAGGTGAAGTATTTTGAAGTTATATGGTCATCGAGCTATATAGGAGGTTTTTATTAACAGTCAACAGTAATGCAATACAAACCCACAGAAGCTGGGAATACCACAGAAATATAAAAGTTGTAAAACAGATTTTAAATAGTTTAGAACAGGAAAAGATAAAGGTCTCAACTGTACTGTAACTGATTAAGATAAAGATCTCAACTGTACTGTGACCAATTAAGATAAAGATCTCAACTGTACTGTGACCGATTAAGATAAAGATCTCAACTGTACTGTCACCGATTAAGATACATATCTCAACTGTACTGTAACCGATTTAGATAAAGATCTTAACTGTACTGTAACCTATTAAGATAAAGATCTCAACTGTACTGTAACTGATTAAGATAAAGATCTCAACAAGATAAAGATCTCAACTGTACTGTAACTGATGAATTACGATAAAGATCTCCACTGTACGGTGACTGATTAAGATAAAGATCTCAACTGTACTGTAACTGATTAAGATAAAGATCTAAACTGTACTGTAACCGATTAAGATAAAGATCTCAACTGTACTGTGACCGATTAAGGTACATATCTCATCTGTACTGTAACCGATTACGATAAAGATCTCAACTGTACTGTAACCGATTAAGATACAGATCTCAACTGTACTGTAACCGATTTAGATAAAGATCTCAACTGTACTGTAACCGATTAAGATAAAGATCTCAACTGTACCTTAACTGATAAAGATAAAGATCTCAACTGTACTGTAACCGATTAAGATAAAGATCTCAACTGTACTGTAACCGATTAAAATAAAGATCTCAACTGTACTGTAACCGATTAAGATAAAGATCTCAACTGTACTGTAACCGATTAAGATAAAGATCTCAACTGTACTGTAACCGATTAAGATAAAGATCTCAACTGTACTGTAACCGATTAAGATAAAGATCTCAACTGTACTGTAACCGATTAAGATAAAGATCTCAACTGTACTGTAACCGATTAAGATAAAGATCTCAACTGTACTGTAACCGATTAAGATAAAGATCTCAACTGTACTGTAACCGATTAAGATAAAGATCTCAACTGTACTGTAACCGATTAAGATAAAGATCTCAACTGTACTGTAACCGATTAAGATAAAGATCTCAACTGTACTGTAACCGATTAAGATAAAGATCTCAACTGTACTGTAACCGATTAAGATAAAGATCTCAACTGTACTGTAACCGATTAAGATAAAGATCTCAACTGTACTGTAACCGATTAAAATAAAGATCTCAACTGTACTGTAACCGATTAAGATAAAGATCTCAACTGTACTGTAACCGATTAAAATAAAGATCTCAACTGTACTGTAACCGATTAAGATAAAGATCTCAACTGTACTGTAACCGATTAAAATAAAGATCTCAACTGTACTGTAACCGATTAAGATAAAGATCTCAACTGTACTGTAACCGATTAAAATAAAGATCTCAACTGTACTGTAACCGATTAAGATAAAGATCTCAACTGTACTGTAACTGATTAAGATAAAGATCTCAACTGTACTGTAACCGATTAAGATAAAGATCTCAACTGTACTGTAACTGATTAAGATAAAGATCTCAACTGTACTGTAACCGATTAAGGAAATAATGGTCTATTTTGGTTTCTTCATTATCCCTTCCACAGCTAGCAGACACTAAAGGAAACGTCTGATTCTGCAAAAGGTCCCATGAACATATGACCATATTCACCTTGCAATAAGCCCCTGCCTGATAATAAACCCTCCTTTTCAGGAGTACTAGTATCATATTCATTTTGTGATATAATCTACCTGATGTCCTGTATCAGCTCATCCCCAATTTTTGACCCAAAACCTCATGGTGGCCCCCTGGACTTATTGCAGGATTAACTATAGTAATCGCCTCTTATTACCATGCAGTGGGATGCAGCAACTCAAATATACTGTTAACTGAGGAAATATAGCAATATATGTATTTAAATAGGCCTTGCCAGGCCGAATGTTACCTAAACAATTGCCAGCTAGCCATGGAGGATGTAATGAACTTTCCCCAAATTCCTAACTTGTGACACTCTGTTTCCAACTCAGGCATGGTGTTATCACTAAGGTTTGTATGCTGTGTCTCTCTGACAGGGAAAACAAAATTGGAAGCACTGCAAACAAAATCACATCAGCAAATACAGTTGTATATATGGTAAATACAGTTTCCTTTTTTTCTGTTCAACTATCAATTTGATGCAATTACAGAGTGTATTACTATACATATATGTATACATTTTCCATTCAATTTTTTTCTAACACAATTTCATAAACTTTCAAAAGCCCTTTTTTCACCCTTTTCAAGACTATTATTTTTTTACTTTCTTTTCATTTACAGCGGTTTGCTGCTTTAAAAAAAAAAACTACGGTGGTTTTCAAGGTAGTTGGGAAAATATCAAACAGATTTAATTGAGTTATGAATTAAATGATGCTTTATTTATGGGAAATATTATACATTTGAGGAATATTCATCAACAAATCAGTCCCTACCCCTAGTATATATATATATCCCCCCTGTTCACAAATGTTAGCCATCTTAATTGGGTGAACCACTGTTTTGATCTATGACCACACTACATGTCATATACATGTAACAACCTAAAGACAGAAGATTAAATAAGAGGCCCAATGGGCCTGCAACGCTCAAATGGTATTAATCTCACACTTGTTATCTTAAAAGTGGACTAAAATACAGCTACAGGCAGAATATCAGTGTTTGATTCATAAGAACCTATTAAAAGATTTAAACATATGACGCCTGCGACCTTGAATGTCGAGCAAGGACATTAGGTTGAAAGTGGGTCAAGGTCATTCAATTTAACAAACAAACTAACTTCATCCCAGCATACTACAGGCCCAATATCGGTACCCTGGGCTTTTAGGTTATTGAGAAGAAAATAGGCCTAAAAATGAAATTCTGATCTCTTTAGCCCTTTTCAGAACGAGTGCTTTCAAGAATAGTTTAAGGACGGACAGATGGACCACGGACTACAGGCCATATACGGACGAAAGGTTATTATATCCCCGCAATGAAGTTAGGGGGTGTATACTGGAATCAACATGTCTGTCTGTCTGTCCTTAGAAAAGGTTTGTCTGGACAACTCCTTTTAAAGTAATGGACCAATTTCAACGGAACTTTCTGACACTTTTTTACAAAGTTATGGCCCGTTGTTGAAAAATCCTTGTCCGGACAACTCCTCCAAAACTACTGGTCCAATTTCAACGAAAGTTTTCAGATATGATAACTACACTTGCTATTGTGCATCCAGGTATTATTTTTTCATTCTCACCCTTTTTTTACAGAGTTATTGCCCTTTGTTGAAAAATACTTGCCAAGACAACTTCTCCAAAACTACTGGATCAATTTCAACGAAAAATTTCAGATATGATATCTACCACCTGTTGCTGCGCATCAAGGTATTATTTTTTTGTGGAGTTATGGCCCTTTGTTGAAAAAAAACCTTTGTCTGTCTCCTAGACTACTGGTCTGACGATTTCAATGAAAGTTAACAGATATGGTAATAACCCCTGATGTTGTGCATCCGGGTAGTCTTTTTTTCCCATTTCAACCCTCCTGAAGGAGTAATGGTCCTTTGTCTCTTCCTTAACTACTAGGACGATTTCAGCAAAACTGGTTCACCTTGGTTGACAAAATTTGGTTTGCAAGTATGTTTTGCGATTGGGAGGGAGTACAGAAAGTAATATGTCAGTTTACTATATACTTAATAAGTGTACAGAGTACAGAAAGTAATATGTCAGTTAACTATATACTTAATAAGTGTACAGAGTACAGAAAGTAATATGTCAGTTTACTATATACTTAATAAGTGTACAGAGTACAGAAAGTAATATGTCAGTTTACTATATACTTAATAAGTGTACAGAGTACAGAAAGTAATATGTCAGTTTACTATATACTTAATAAGTGTACAGAGTACAGAAAGTAATATGTCAGTTTACTATATACTTAATAAGTGTACAGAGTACAGAAAGTAATATGTCAGTTTACTATATACTTAATAAGTGTACAGAGTACAGAAAGTAATATGTCAGTTTACTATATACTTAATAAGTGTACAGAGTACAGAAAGTAATATGTCAGTTTACTATATACTTAATAAGTGTACAGAGTACAGAAAGTAATATGTCAGTTTACTATATACTTAATAAGTGTACAGAGTACAGAAAGTAATATGTCAGTTTACTATATACTTAATAAGTGTACAGAGTACAGAAAGTAATATGTCAGTTTACTATATACTTAATAAGTGTACAGAGTACAGAAAGTAATATGTCAGTTTACTATATACTTAATAAGTGTACAGAGTACAGAAAGTAATATGTCAGTTTACTATATACTTAATAAGTGTACAGAGTACAGAAAGTAATATGTCAGTTTACTATATACTTAATAAGTGTACAGAGTACAGAAAGTAATATGTCAGTTTACTATATACTTAATAAGTGTACAGAGTACAGAAAGTAATATGTCAGTTTACTATATACTTAATAAGTGTACAGAGTACAGAAAGTAATATGTCAGTTTACTATATACTTAATAAGTGTACAGAGTACAGAAAGTAATATGTCAGTTTACTATATACTTAATAAGTGTACAGAGTACAGAAAGTAATATGTCAGTTTACTATATACTTAATAAGTGTACAGAGTACAGAAAGTAATATGTCAGTTTACTATATACTTAATAAGTGTACAGAGTACAGAAAGTAATATGTCAGTTTACTATATACTTAATAAGTGTACAGAGTACAGAAAGTAATATGTCAGTTTACTATATACTTAATAAGTGTACAGAGTACAGAAAGTAATATGTCAGTTTACTATATACTTAATAAGTGTACAGAGTACAGAAAGTAATATGTCAGTTTACTATATACTTAATAAGTGTACAGAGTACAGAAAGTAATATGTCAGTTTACTATATACTTAATAAGTGTACAGAGTACAGAAAGTAATATGTCAGTTTACTATATACTTAATAAGTGTGCAGAGTACAGAAAGTAATATGTCAGTTTACTATATACTTAATAAGTGTACAGAGTACAGAAAGTAATATGTCAGTTTACTATATACTTAATAAGTGTACAGCTCATTGAGTAAAAAAATCATTACTGATGGGGACTACTGGATTGCTTTGATGATGATAATAAAGTAGTACAGGTCTCTTGGAAACAATTGCTTTTGCTGGTCCACCGTGTCATTTCCCATCAATAAAACTTACCCATTGTAATTATGCGACTGTTGTGCTTTATCCCTTGAGCTCGACTCTTGTTTTGGTGCCTCATCCTTGATGTCCATACCAGGAAATCCCTGTTCCTCAAGGGTCAAAGTTCGGGGTGGTGTCATCATCCCAACATACGGCACAGTCTGAGGAGGAGGGAGTTCAGAAGGGTCAAATAGGCGCAGATTCTCCTTGGCACCAATGTGTTGTCCTTCCCCTGTACACAGACATCAACTTGAATGTTTAAAAAAACTGCTGGTTTCTAGTCATAATAAATTTAAGACATTGGTTTGATTTAAATCAGCTTTTCGTCCATATGCTGCTATGCTACCTGGTAAGTTTTTGGAGTAATAATCAGTCACCCTGTGGGACACATTAACTCATTCACCCCTGAACTTTCATAATGAACTATTCCAACCTTTGAATTGGAAGAGTTCAAATGTGTCTTCAGGGGTGAATGAGTTAACATAGGTCAGATTACATAATTAGCAGATCGGACACACAACATATTAGGTAGACCAGGGATCTCCCATGAACATTTTGCTGATAAAAGGCTGAATGACCACCCATACCGAAAAAAGTTACAGGTAGAAATCCACCCTGGCTCATTAGCTTAATTGACCCATATCACCTTGTTATTTGTACTTATTGGGGTCTTTTACACAAGAATTTGGCACCGATTAAATCTTAACCTGCCCCAAGTTCAGCATTGACCCCACTATAGTTCATGGAGGCGCGTGCCCCGTGGACCCGCCACTTATCAATGGGGGAGGGGGATATATATTGATCCCTGTGTAACATTGAAAGGTCAGGCCTGCAAGGCCATTTATTTGAAGACACTTTATAGCACTTTGTGCCAGGAACATACTGGCCAAGTATCATTGCTCTATAGGCCTCTTGGTTTTTAACACATTTGACCCCTGTGACCTTCAAAGTAGTTAATTTATTTGAGGAATGTTTGTAGCATCATTGTTCTATAGGGCTCTAGGTTATTCAGCAGAAGTTGTTATAAGGTTTTTAACACATCTGACCCTTGCGATTTTGAAAGTAGGTCAAGCTCATTTATTCCTGTTAAAAACTGATATAAGCCAGTTGATGATAAAAAATACTCCCCACAACAATAAGTACTGTTTTATTAGACAAATACAGGTCAGGTATCAGTTGAACTTAACGGACAAACCACAAATATCGAGTTTCATGGGGGATATTTGATAAATGCCCATAGAATTAATGTTGATTGCTTTATGTGTGATATAAGATACCACCATACATGTGGCATTTGGCCAGGAATGTGTAGCTTCTAACGAAAACTAATGGCCAGTACATATTTTTCTGGAAAATTTAACATCCATTAAGCCCAGCTTTTTCATGCCTTTTTCTTGGAATATTCAAGTCAAATATTTGAAATTATTGGATATTCAGTATTAATATTATGGCTTCTCTTAAGGTTTTTTGTTTTGTTTTAATGTGTTTTTTATGGAAATTTAATTACCGGGTATCTGACAGTTTAGTAATGATATACCATAATATGTCATGTGAACAAATTGGTAGGCATATACAAAGATATTCCCAGAAGAGCACATTGCAAATGAATCCTTACTTTGCCAATTTATACCAATCTCTCAAATGCTTCATGTTTCAGTTGTGGTAGCCCTACAAAAGCACACCCCCTTCCCTACATAAACAAACACACGTCCTATACCAACACCCACAAAACTTGGTAGTACTGTATAGTTTACAGGGAGAGAAAAAGATGGTTACACATAATCATGATATAAACCAAAATGCAACAAGAAATAAAGTTCAATCCATTGTATAATACATTTATTTCTGAATACAATGATGAACATATGGATACAATGAAAATGTTTAAGAGTGGCGGTTCATGCCTTCTGAGAAAGACAATAAACATATATATGGCAGACTAAATGTTCATGTGAAGTAGGTTTTATAAGTGTAGATTTTTTCAGAGACCAGCTAGGGGCCTTATTAATAGCTCACCTGGAATTTTATTTTCATTTGAAAACCAGCTGAGTACTATACCAGTTTATCAAAGGAGTACAAGGAATACATTTAGTTGCAAAAAGGACTATAACTCTGTTTGGGTGGGTAATAAACAAACAACCTGAGAGTATATAATACTCTTCATGTCCAGCAATTTTGTATATGGTTATGGCATTGGGATCTTAATAACTGTTTCCATGTTGTAACCCAGGCAGGTTTAATGTCTCCTGGCCAGAGATGGCACCAATACTGTTTATAACAAGAGGCCCATGGGCCTTAACGGTCACCTGAGTCTATAGTATTTATTTTTGTTGTTGAAATATGTACCAATTTGAGTAAAAAATAGTATAATGTTAACTTAACTTTGTCAGGACCATGAGCTGATCATTCCTAGACCAATTTTAAGTGAGATCGGCCTATTAGAACTTAGTAGCAAAATAGCGGCCATGGCAGCCAAATTGTATTTCTGATTGACCCGAAAAATAACAACACTTTGTCAGGACCATGATTCGATCATTCCTACAAAGTTTCAGTTCAATCGGCCAAGTAGATCTTTACTTTAAGTTTGAAATAGTTTACCAAAATGGCAGCTGTGGTGGCCATATTGGATTTCTGATCGACCTGAAAAATAACAACACTTTGTCAGGACCATGAGTCAATCATTCCTACAAAGTTTCAGTTCAATCGGCCTAGCAGAACTTGACTTTAAGTTTGAAATATGTTTTCAAAATGGTGGCCGTGGCGGCCATATTGGATTTATGATTGACCTGAAAAATAACAACACTTTGTCAGGACCATGAGTCGATCATTCCTACAAACTTTAAGTTCAATCGGTCCAGCAGAACTTGACTTTAAGTTTGAAATAGGTTTTCAAAATGGCGGCCGTGGCGGCCATATTGGATTTCTGATCGACCCGAAAAATAACAACACTTTGTCAGGACCATGAGGCGATCATTCCTATCAACTTTCAGTTCAATCGGCCCAGCAGAACTTGACTTTAAGTTTGAAATGTAAAATGTTAACGGACGACGGACGACGGACGACGGACGACGTACGACGGACGACGGACGACGGACGACGACGGACGAAAACGGATAGCAATAGGTCACTTGAGCTAAAGCTCAGGTGACCTAAAAACTGGAGTCTCACCATTTATACAATTAAAATTTAGTTGTCTTTGCCTGAAGGTTCTTTCTATTGACCGAAATTGGTCAAAATCCCTCGATTTGTATGGAAGGAGACATTTTTTAAACTAAATTTCCTTTATTTCCCCTATTGGTCCCCACCCCACTGCCCCCAACGGGGGCCACATACTTGTTTTCTACAAAATTGAATCCCCTTTGCCCAAAGTTGCTCAAGAACATGTTCAGTTCATGTGATCAAGTCATTTCATTAGTATAAAAGGAGGATTTTTAATATTTTCCTTTATTTCCCCTATTGGGTCCAACCCCTCTGCCACAAAGTGGAGGCCACAGCCTAAAGTGTATACAAAACTGAGTCCTCTTTCCTTGACAACATTTGGTTAATAATTATAACCCCTTCATTTATACCGAAGGAGAAAGACTTCCCTCTTACTTCCCTTGTTGGACCCCACCCCTCTGCCACCAGTGGGCCACATACTCTGTTCATAGAAAATTGAATCTCCTTTGCCCAAAGATGCTCTAGAAGAAATTACCCCGGTATGTAAAATCCTTTCATTGGTACAAAAGAAAAAGAATTTTTAATATTTTCTTCTATTTCCCCTATTGGCACCGCCCTTAAGTTCAAGTTAGGGGGCCTTTGCCAAAAAGATGCTCTAGAACAAATATTTGGTCAATATATTCCTTCATTGGTTAGTTTTCGAAGATTTAACTTTTCCCCTTAATTGGCCAAGAAGATGGGGGACCATAGTCAAGACAAAATTTGGTCAAAAACCACCGAGCTATTAAGGAATAGTAGTGTTTTAAAGGAAAAAGTTGAAGGAGAACGGACGCTTCGCAACGTTCGGCATACTTAACCAAAGGGCCAAGTAAGCAATAAGTATAGTATCTAACAGTGGACTACAAAACTTAAATAAGCAGCTTTCACCTTTAATTCATAGAGTTCAAACTTCTTAAGGTTTATTTCAAAAGGGCAACACCATGACTTCACAATTATATGTCATCACGTACACTACAATAGTAACATGAATTGATGTTACAATATACACAAGATGGTGGACAAACTAGCACAACATTTTACTGTGTACCTGTTGAGACTGAAGGTTTAAATATGTTGATGAAATGGTTTTCTTTCGTTTTTCTTAGAATAGCATAGGACAAAAAGAATTGATACATAGGAAATTAGTTTATTTATCATCTCAAACACATTCATGAAAGTGTTTATCTAACCCTTTCACCCCTAGGTAACTTTAGTAGACTCTACCATACATTGATCTGGATGAGTCTATCATGGTCTACAGTGGTGAAAGGGTTAACATGTAAATTTCGTGAAGATTTGGTTTCAGTGTGTTGTCTTTATACAGTCATGTGACTGTTAATCTGAAAGTTCATTACAATAAGTCAACAAGGTGGACCAATTTAAAAGTCACCACATTTAGAACAATTTACTATTATATAATATACATTTTTTGATTTACAGTTCATATATATATATATTAGCCTTCACAACAAATTTCAAACCATTATTAGAGATAACAGTATTACATTCAATAATCATTGGACATGTACCATTCCTTGGTGTCTGTATAACACTTGGATACTTCTGGGCCCGTATTCATGCCGCCATTCTCATGCTCAAGCATGGATTCTGTACTCAAACTTATTTCTTGTTCTGGTTATAACTCAATAAATAAATCTTATTTTGTCAATGATAAATTTGGAAACATTTTGAAGTGACTTATATAGCCAAATACTGTTTTCAATGTTTACATTTGACTTTTTGATCGTTTCACAGATCTAAGCGAGTCACCAGAAAGTTGGTTTGAGCACAGTGAGATTCCATGCTTGAGCATGAGAACGGTTAATGAATACGGGCCGAGGTGTTACACAATAATTATCAAACTTATCGCACTATACGTAGTGCGATGGCATGGCTTTTTGAAGTCACAATGTTTACTTTTGAAAAAACTGAAGAACACTATGAAGGGTGAAAGCTGTTTTAAGTCTTGTAGTCAGTCGTTAGATTATATTTTCTCTATATCATCTATATGTATAATAATTATATATCAAAATATATCAAAAAACCAAAACCTTGCTTGGCATCAGGGCTTGTAACAGTATCTGCAAAAGGAATGGAACTAATTTTCAAAACTCTCTAAAATATTAAAGATCTACTGAGAACACCATCAAAGAAGATAATACGAATCAAATACGGGAAAATGAAGAGATCGCAATAGCATAGACCAAAGGCAGAAAATCGACATCTTCCACATGGTGTTTTAAAATTGATAATTTCTTTTGATAACATACCCGATGTACTTCTGCTTACTTCTGTACTAAAAAAGATTAACGAAGACCACGTACATGTACACATGATTTGAGTTGGATGCAGTGTTTTAACAAGTGATCCGACAGTCTTACTGGGCAAACGTTTAGACTGTAACGCGTGTAACCCCACGTGGAGCTTGCATGCTTATCAGGATGTGTTTTCTCAACTACAGTGGGCCTTCCGATATCATTTTGACCCCACAGTCCATTGCCATGACAACTTAGACAAAAGTAATTGATTTCAGTTGTACAGGCACGTGTTGGCCTGTGCCCTGATCATGTATACACAATTGGTATCAGCCACAATACACAAGTGGCGCGCAAATTTGTTTTTCTGGGATTTAATTGCAAATTGTCTTAGTTTTTTCAAGCTTTTCATTTTTCAATAAAATTTGCTACGGACAGTGGGAGCCCTAGCTTGACCTAAAACGAGCACATAGTTCCGGCTAAAACAAAAACACTGTATTCATCCGCAGTCAGAGCAGTCAAGCTTGGAAAATAGAGGCCTTTATTTTGAACTCCAGGAGTTACACCGATTATAAACATGAAAAAGTTCTTCATGAATTGTCAAAAACCCTCTTTGAACATTTTGTTGAAATTTTGGCAGATGAATAACTCAACAACAAGAAAATAAAGATGTTTTGCTTTTCATGCAAGCACGACAACTTTCTATGATTAGCTGCCTGAAGGGCCGCCAACCCAATAATGATAGTTGGTAACAGTGTGAAACACAGGTGTTACTTAAGCTGTTTGATAAAATGATAGAATAAACACTAAGGACTTGAGCGGTAAGGCCGGGATAAATCGTAGTTTAAGGAACATGGGGGTATTCAAGGATGGGCTATTCAAGTAATTCAAGGTCAATTTGAACATGGTCCCGACCAAGCAAACTATTCCACTAATAGGGCCCCCCCCCCCGGGTATTCCAGTTATGTGATTTCGAGGAAGTGAGGTAATTTCACTGTACTAGATACATAAGAATCCTTGCCATTGTATTTCTGAGGGCGTTAACAATCATTTCTTTCTTCAGTTTGGGTCCATATAAAATATAGTGATCTGCCATATTTTGGGTAATTGCCACTAGTTACCAAAAACGCAAGTTATTTTAGTGTCATAGAAACAAAGAGGTTTCATCATCACCTGCTAGGAAGATGCGGTCTGGAACTATCATGTGGTGGGCACCAACATCATTGGCAGGGGGCTGGTATCCAAATGGATCACACACTTCATCATTAGGGCCAAGATTATGAGGGACCTGCATCTTGTTGCTTATCTCTGATATGAACTCAGCATCATAGTTAGAAGGTTGGACGTCACTGTAGTCCGAAGGAAAGCTCTGTATATGGGTTTTACTGGAATTGTCCTGAAATAAACACACATTTCTCATGACAGGAACATTTTACAGTAAGCAGTTTCTAGCAGTTTTTTGCAAATGTCAGGACCCAAATCGGATCAAGGCTTGAATTTTGCAGTATCTTACGCTTCAAATAATTATTTTTTTGTCAGCATTAATTATAACATTTTATGATGACCTTTTGAAATTTTCTAGTTTGTATCTTTTTTTCTGTTCAGCTGTCGACTTCTTTTTATTTGGCTGAGTATCGCTCGTGTCCTTCAGGTAGCGAAACATGGCCTCAAACCACAATTAATTCTACTATATATGTTACTACCAAAGGAAAAACAAATTAAATTATTTTAAAACTTTGCGCAGGGTCTGGTTCCTAGGTATTTCATATTGTAGGTCTATTCAAACTGAACATAAGTGAGCTAGAAAGTACCTCATGACCGGCATTTAAGAAAGATCATTTCATTTGAATGTCACTACCCTGCAAGTATAGGGAAAAATACCAAAAATCATAAAATACCACTACTCAAGCCTCATCACTCATTGTGTCCTGCTGCCAATACAAACTTGGAAACTGTTTCAAATAAAATGCAATCACTACAATAGATATTGTTGATCTATAGATGTAAAAAAAATGTACATATCTGTCATAGATCAGACAGGATAAAATATTTAGTAACCCACCTGAAATGTCATTATGCACTACCTTCGTGTACAACGACCCGGAAGTGTAACAAATATTAAAGATGAAGTTGAAACCCAAATTTTATATTGTTTTTTCAAAACCTGAACAAAATAGAGCCATTTGCATACCCCTCAGGAGCCAGTTTTCAACATATGTATTGGGTCACCATATAAACATTGTTGTTTATACCACAATGATGACAGAATACTTCCAATGACTTTATCATGATAAAAAGTAATCAACAGGCTTTTATTTTCCAAAATTTTATTATGATCACTTTTAATTTGTAGGTCTTGGGGCATTATTATTAATTATAAATTAAATTTTCAAATGTTGAGAAAAATTTCTACTTAAAACAACTGTATAACTTTTTAAAATGAAATCTCAGCCTGTCTCACTTTGAGCAGTCTGAAAGACTACTTTTTAAAGATCACATTGATATAGACACAAAGGGGGGTCATTAGGTACTTAGCAGGTAATTAGTGGTCAAGTGGTCAGGTGTGTCCAAGCGGTAACATTTGTACAATTTTGAATCCAAAGGGGGGTCATTAGGTACTTAGCAGGTAATTAGTGGTCAAGTGGTCAGGGGTGTCCAAGCGGTAACATTTGTACAATTTTGAATCCCCGCGGCCTCCCACGAATATTTCTGACCAAATATAATTGATATCCAGTGCATAGTTCTACAGAATAAGTCGTTTATAGCAATATAATCGAATTGCCCACTTTTGGCCCTGCCCCTCAGCTCTCTGGGGGGTCAGCCCAACCATTTGTGTAATTTTGAATCCCAACCACTTAGGGATGCTTCCAGTCAAATATGGTTGATATCCATCTCTTAGTTCCAGAGAAGAAGTCATTTATTGCAATATAGCCAATTGCCCCATCTCCTCAGACCCATAGGGGGTCAGCCCCACCATTTGTACAATTTTGAATCCTTGCCTCCCATGTATGCTTCATGATAAAACATAATTGATATCCAGTGCATAGTTCTACAGAAGAAGTTGTTTATAGCAATATAACCAAATTGCCCACTTTCAGCCCTGCCCCTCAGCCCCCTGGGGGTTCAGCCCCACCATTTGTATAATTTTGAATCCCCACCACTTAGGGATGCTTCCAGTCAAATATGGTTTACATCCATCTCTTAGTTCCAGAGAAGAAGTCGTTTATAGCAATATAGCTAAATTGCCCCCTTTTGGCCACGCCCCTCAGACCCCTGGGGGGTCAGCCCCACCTTTTGTACAATTTTGAATCCCCATCACCTAGGGATGCTTCCAGTCAAATTTAGTTCAATTCAAATCAGTGGTTAAGAAGAAGTTGTTTGAAGAAATTGTTGACGTACGGACGACGCGGACGCCACAGTATGGCATAAACTCACCTTGGTCTTTCGGACACTGAGAAACTAGCTTTTGATGAAATTTCAACTGCTTTAACACTCAGTGCAAATTAAAGTTGTTAAAGACAAGGTTTAATTTGGTCCTCTTGGCAGCAATCCTAGATTGAACACTGCCTATTTCATGATCATCAGACAAAGATTGATGTGGAAACATGGGAAGATATTAATATAAATTGATATTGGTATAATTGAAATGAATTGTTAATTGTTATTTATATCAGTGTGTTGGAAATAATTAAATAGAGAAGAATTAATTTTGCCGTTGTTATGATCAGTATGTGAATTCTACTTTCACTTTCAAATACCTTCGGGCATATTCCTTTGATACATCATTATACTACACCCTAGCAAACGATACTGTAATTATGTAACAGTCAAAAGGGTAAAAGAAGTGATATATATAGTCATGATTTACCTATTTTGCGATTAAAAGTTAATACATTACATTTTGTCCCAGAAGCGTAATAATATTTACCCGCAATATATGTCATTTACAATCACGTGACAATCATATGCCTTGCAAGTCGTGCGGTGAACACAACTTTCATAGAAACAATAACAATCAAAACACAAAATATTCCCTTTTTAAACAATAATCAACTATTCTTGTCAACGAAAATGGTGTATATATTGTAAATAAAGCAGTCGTCAGTTTTTATATTAATAATGTTAACCTTGAATAGATTTCCGGCACCATGCTGTCAGGATGGTTAATATTATATATATATATGCTCTGATTTTGACACATTTTCAACAGAGACAGGGAAATCAAATTGTAATGCAAAATACAGAGAAACTATTGTTTAAATGATTAAAAACACACTTTATTGTACAATAAAGTGTTAAATAAAGTGTTACATATAGTATACATGCAACCAGATCATGGCAGATGTATAATAGTCATATGAATAACATATCTTCTTCTGGTCTCAATTCCTTAAAGACTTTGTCGGGTAACAATACCGTTCCATCTGTGTATGGAAAGTGTTTAATTGGAAAAGCTTCAAAATACAAGAAAACATGAGGTGCGAGCACAGCAGCCCGATTTAGTAGACTGGTCAACAGATACATGTATGCACTAGACCTCATTTGTTTAAGTACAAAATTATTAACATACTTACATGTATGGTGTACTAGGACATGATAATTAAACCGGATTCATAGTTTTAACAGTGGACGTTCTAGTGATACGAAGTACTTGTGTACAGCAAAGGTTACAGAAATTTATTGTCATTTTTGCCAGGGAGAGAGTCATTCAGCACTAGTCCGCTAAAACTGACCATAATCGCAGGCTCAAAAATTCTGACCGGTCGCCTGTTTATGACAATAAACAGGCGACCGGTCAGAATTTTTGAGCCTGCGATTATGGTCAGTTTTAGCGGACTAATTCAGCACCACCTTCAGCGATGGAGATGGGGGTCAATCAGGCGGTGATAACTTCTGGTTTCAATAATTAAATTGACATTAAATGAGTATTTATAGAAGCATACCTCCTTGCTATCTGGGTGTCCGTTCATGTTATTGGTGCCTGTATAAAAAAGAACTTATTCAATATTCATCAGGAAATATTGGACATCTTCGAACTACCTTTGAGCACATATAATGGTGACGTCACGAAAAGTGTGTAGAAAACAAAGGCGGATGCCATATATTTCCGGATAATTTACCGGACGTTATATTGATACATTACACATGACAAAGGCTGCGACACCGGGGAATTTATGTTACAAAAAATCGATTAGGTGTGATAGCAAACTGTATTTACTGTTGACTTAAGCTCTGAAAGTCATGGGACATAAGAATATAAACAAATTTCTCTGTATTTTCTTTAGAGAGATCAGAGGTCTACTGTACAGTACGTTATACCACGGAATCTAAGTCCGTGGTTATACACTGTTTACAAGTTACTTTCGCTTTTGTCATTAAAAAATGCTAGATTTATTTTGTCAATTTACAACGTTACAGCGTTAATTTAAATATTCTTAATATTTTTTATTTGGGACTTGTGTTTGTTACAATTTTTAATGTAAATCACAGTCTTATAGGAAATAATATTTATATATATAATACGATTATATATGATCTAGTGCGACCACACCAGGCAGCCACTAGCATATTTAAAAAACTGAAGGCAATCCTTACACATTGTTTGTGGACTTGACTTACAAACAATATCACCGAATGAAAACATGCAACTAATTTTCCGTGTATTTTTATTCAATATCTGACAAAGTTCAATTTAGTGCCTAACTATAGACGGATCACGTACTAGCGACACAGTAAACAAGATACCCCTATTTTTTTTAACTATCCGTGTTAGGCATCATGTTATGCGCTTAATGTTTCTTATTGTATTTTATGCTTGTGTAGTTGTAATTGAAATGGAATACAACGATGTGATTTATGTTTTTAATGTTTATGTACATATTCCGACTCGATCACAATGATTCGTTTTTTCATTTACTTTTATTTGTTGAACACGAAAAGGCGGGGAATTTTGAAAAAAAATGGCTGCGATCTCTACTGTGTGGTCATTAAAGCGCTACGCAAGACTCCGACAAATATCTCAACAGAAGGAAGATTCTGGATCATCGCTTGAAGGAAGCTGGCAGGAGGTTACTGATAGAATAGGCGTCAATATAATTGTACCTGTCAATTGGCCATATATTATCATTGATGATACTATTAAGCATAGGTAAAGGTTATGGCAAGCCGTTTCGGTTTTTACCCACTCAATACAGATTCAAGCAGATTTTAATTGTACATAGGATTACTGCCGCCTTCTACCTTCGAGCTAGAGGGAATTTCCCTTTAGCTCAGTGGTAGACTAGAGCGTCCGACTAGGAACCTTGAGATCGAGGTTTCGATCCCCGGTGGAAGCACATTCCCTGATACACAGATATATGCATTCTTAATGTAGTTATGTATTTAGATACAGACAACTGTATTCTGTCAGTACATACAGATATCTGTATTCTGTCAGTAAATACACTATACAGATATCTGTATTAATAGACTATATATATGAGTACCCAAACGGCTTGCCATATAAGGTGCCGAAAATAGATTCCAAAACCATCGTTTTATCAATTCATTAAAATTCAGAGTATCATTTATATTCATATGGTTGAACCACGCTGGAACTTAATTTTGATGTCAAAAACGTTAGATTTTGAAATTTCAATAAGTTAGAAGTCTATCTTCATGTATATATTACAGTCATTGTTAGGCTTGTAGTATGTATAGCATCATGTGTAGCTGTCAGTATGATACATATCTATAGTCAGTAATACGGTTTACAGAAAGTTGGAGGTATGACATGACCCACCACCCACCCCACCTACCCCCACCCCAACCCGCCCAACACACAGTAATTTTCAACCGCAAGTAATTTAATAACTGAATTCTCTACACCATTTTTTTCAAGCATAGATGTCCAGTCCAGTAAAGAGAACTGTTCAATTCCCCAAATATGTCAATATTTGCAATGTAATAATTCCAAGATTTCCTTCAGGTAAAATCCAACACGAAACTTAAAAACGTGATTGTAAAGATGACATAAAATAATTACTGCCATAAAGATGAACCAAAACTAAATAAATGTCTGTTTCAGGTAAAATGACAGAAGAAAATATTGAAGGTCGGTCGGGATTTATTTGTGTATTCTTATTTTTAGGAATATCCTTAAAATTATCATGCTATATATCTGTAATGGTAGCAGTTCTCTAAAAGGAGAGCGTCAGTGTTAGGGTAGTCAAGAGATTCAGAACCTGAGTTTGGACTAGGATGTGCGATCACCTAACCTAAACACAGGTTTTCTTGGCCAGTGAATCCCTCCACTAAAACACGGTTTATTTAGACTAGTAGATCCCCGTCCAAAACACATGTCTCCTGACTAGCAGATCCTCCACTAAAACAGATTCTCTTGTGATCCCAAAGCCTAGTTGAAAACCAGGTCTTCTTGACTAGGTGATACCCCAGCCTAGTTCAAACTCAGGTTCTCTTGACCTAGTGATCCCCCATCCGAGCCCAAACTCTGGTTCCCTGGACTAAGCGATCCCCACGCATAACCCAAACACGTTTTCTCTTGTCTAGGTGAACGTGATCCCCCAGTCTAGCCAAAACACATTATCTCTTGACTAGGTGATCCCCCAGCCTAGCCTTAACTGAGGTTCTCATGACTAGGTGATCCCCCAGCCTAGCCTTAACTGAGGTTCTCATGACTAGGTGATCCCCCAGCCTATCCCAAACTCAGGTTCTCATGACTAGGTGATCCCCCAGCCTAGCCTTAACTCAGGTTCTCATGACTAGGTAATCCCCCAGCCTAGCCTTAACTGAGGTTCTCATGACTAGGTGATCCCCCAGCCTAGCCTTAACTGAGGTTCTCATGACTAGGTGATCCCCCGGCCTAGCCCAAACACATATTCTCTTGACTAGGTGATACCCCAGCCTAGCCTTAACTCATGTTTTCTTGACTAGGTGATCCCTAGCCTAACCCAATCGCAGGTTCTCTTGACTAGGTGATCCCCAGTCTAGCCAAAACTCATGTTCTCTTGACTAGGTGATCCCCAGCCTAGCCCAAGCTCATGTTCTCTTGACTAGGTGATACCCAAGCATAGTCGAAACTCAGGTCTTCTTGACTAGGTGATCCCCGAGCCTACCCCAACCTCTCGTTCTCTGGACTAAGTGATCCCCAGCCTAGCCGAAACTCAGGTTCTCTTGACTAGGTGATCCCCAGCCTAGCCCAATCTCAGGTTCTCTTGACTAGGTGATCCCCAGCCTAGCCGAAACTCATGTTCTCTTGACTAGGTGATCCCCAGCCTAGCCCAATCTCATGTTCTCTTGACTAGGTGATCCCCAGCCGAGCCCAAACTCCTGTTCTCTTGACTAGGTGATACCCAGCCTAGCCCAAACTCAGGTTCTCTTGACTAGGTGATCCCCAGCCTAGCCCAAACTCATGTTCTCTTGACTAGTTGATACTTTAGCCAAGCCGAAACTCATGTTTTCTTGACTAGGGATAAGGCTAACTTGGTTTGTGTTTTACGTCTCTTAACGGCCTAAGCACGTGCCATGTTTTGGTGATGGAGGAAAAGCGGAGTGCCCGCAGAAAAACCCCACCGATCTGCGGCAAGTACCTTGCGACTGCCCTATATAGGCATCGAACCCACGACCGATGGCTAGTGGCCGTAGACGGTCAGATGCCTTATAGCCACTTGGTCACCGCGGAATCTACTAGTCGAGAGAACCTGTTGCCAGTTTCATTGATCTATAAAGTTATATGGAGTTAACGACGTACATATTATATTTACCACAGTATCACGGGGACGAAACGCCACTGAAGGCTATGCTACACCTTAATGGTCAATTTGTTTTGACCAGTGGAACGACGATAATGGTATGTTTTTTATCTTGACTAAAACAAAATATCGATGTTCTATATTTTGACCAGTAAAATATATAGTGCGATGATTAGAAAAGATGCAATATGTTTATAGTGTAATACACAACACGGGGTTTTCTCACCGTAAACTTACCAATAATTATAAGCGAACGGCAAAAATATATTCATAAAAATCATATGATTCTTTAATTAGAAGTCAGCATCAATTGGAATTTAAATATTTTTTTATTGTGTATGCTATTTTTTAATAAATAAAAGAAGCATTTTTAAGACAGAATCAGTGTTATCGAGTTTTATCATTATGATGTTATATACTTATATAACGTCAATGATCGGTTCCTGGTATATAACAAACAGCTGAACGGAAAGCTGTTTAAAATTCTGATGTGTATATCGCTGTAGAATGCCAAATAATGGAATATACAAATTCTATCAATACATAGGGATTTCCGTATCTCATTATTACGCAAGTGTAATCCGAATGTAAATGCACACAGCGGCTGTATAGAATGGATACTTACTTTCTCTCGTGTGACCCCAACATGTACATAAAGATGTCCGCAGGTGCTACGCAAACACTACGCTCACAATGTACCGGTAAACGTATACGGCTGGATGAATGTGTTACACGTCGCACAGTATGCTTAGTCACATGATCGTTTTATTTACTGTGAACTTTTTATTCGTGATATCAACATTATGGTTCATATTCATGGAATCAGTAATCATGTAAACTTCGAATTTATGAATCTCTCGAGACCAAAAGGGCACATAGAAGTTGGAATATTGCGTCTTTCGTATATTTGATATAAAAAATAATCATATGCAAGGAATGTCGGATACCTGTATTACATGTAGCTATTCATGTCTAAAACATTTTAATATATATATATAGCTTTGTTTTTATTTTGCATCAATACTATTCAATGATGCCTAGAGTTAAGTTTCTAATTTTTTTTCTTTATTAACAGGCTGATACAAGTAATTCAATATTAAGTGTACTATTCTTTTGAATGTGTGACCGAAATAAATATAATAATATTTCGTCATTTTTTAGGAATCAATTTATTTGAGATCAGCTGGATCATGGATAAGAGGAACCAGTAAGGGTGACAGTGTCCTGATAGTGTGTAAACTGAAGGTACGTTCTGTGTGATAGAGTGTAAAATGAAGGTACGTCCTGTGTTATAGAGTGTAAAATGTAGGTTCGTCCTGTGTTATAGAGTGTAAAATGAAGGTACGTCCTGTGTGATAGAGTGTAAAATGAAGGTACGTCCTGTGTTATAGAATGTAAAATGAAGGTACGTCCTGTGTTATAGAGTGTAAAATGAAGGTACGTCCTGTGTTATAGAGTGTAAAATGAAGGTACGTCCTGTGTTATAGAGTGTAAAATGAAGGTACGTCCTGTGTTATAGAGTGTAAAATGAAGGTACGTCCTGTGTTATAGAGTGTAAAATGAAGGTACGTCCTGTGTTATAGAGTGTAAAATGAAGGTACGTCCTGTGTTATAGAGTGTAAAATGAAGGTACGTCCTGTGTTATAGAGTGTAAAATGAAGGTACGTCCTGTGTTATAGAGTGTAAAATGAAGGTACGTCCTGTGTTATAGAGTGTAAAATGAAGGTACGTCCTGTGTTATAGAGTGTAAAATGAAGGTACGTCCTGTGTTATAGAGTGTAAAATGAAGGTACGTCCTGTGTTATAGAGTGTAAAATGAAGGTACGTCCTGTGTTATAGAGTGTAAAATGAAGGTACGTCCTGTGTTATAGAGTGTAAAATGAAGGTACGTCCTGTGTTATAGAGTGTAAAATGAAGGTACGTCCTGTGTTATAGAGTGTAAAATGAAGGTACGTCCTGTGTTATAGAGTGTAAAATGAAGGTACGTCCTGTGTTATAGAGTGTAAAATGAAGGTACGTCCTGTGTTATAGAGTGTAAAATGAAGGTACGTCCTGTGTTATAGAGTGTAAAATGAAGGTACGTCCTGTGTTATAGAGTGTAAAATGAAGGTACGTCCTGTGTTATAGAGTGTAAAATGAAGGTACGTCCTGTGTTATAGAGTGTAAAATGAAGGTACGTCCTGTGTTATAGAGTGTAAAATGAAGGTACGTCCTGTGTTATAGAGTGTAAAATGAAGGTACGTCCTGTGTTATAGAGTGTAAAATGAAGGTACGTCCTGTGTTATAGAGTGTAAAATGAAGGTACGTCCTGTGTTATAGAGTGTAAAATGAAGGTACGTCCTGTGTTATAGAGTGTAAAATGAAGGTACGTCCTGTGTTATAGAGTGTAAAATGAAGGTACGTCCTGTGTTATAGAGTGTAAAATGAAGGTACGTCCTGTGTTATAGAGTGTAAAATGAAGGTACGTCCTGTGTTATAGAGTGTAAAATGAAGGTACGTCCTGTGTTATAGAGTGTAAAATGAAGGTACGTCCTGTGTTATAGAGTGTAAAATGAAGGTACGTCCTGTGTTATAGAGTGTAAAATGAAGGTACGTCCTGTGTTATAGAGTGTAAAATGAAGGTACGTCCTGTGTTATAGAGTGTAAAATGAAGGTACGTCCTGTGTTATAGAGTGTAAAATGAAGGTACGTCCTGTGTTATAGAGTGTAAAATGAAGGTACGTCCTGTGTTATAGAGTGTAAAATGAAGGTACGTCCTGTGTTATAGAGTGTAAAATGAAGGTACGTCCTGTGTTATAGAGTGTAAAATGAAGGTACGTCCTGTGTTATAGAGTGTAAAATGAAGGTACGTCCTGTGTTATAGAGTGTAAAATGAAGGTACGTCCTGTGTTATAGAGTGTAAAATGAAGGTACGTCCTGTGTTATAGAGTGTAAAATGAAGGTACGTCCTGTGTTATAGAGTGTAAAATGAAGGTACGTCCTGTGTTATAGAGTGTAAAATGAAGGTACGTCCTGTGTTATAGAGTGTAAAATGAAGGTACGTCCTGTGTTATAGAGTGTAAAATGAAGGTACGTCCTGTGTTATAGAGTGTAAAATGAAGGTACGTCCTGTGTTATAGAGTGTAAAATGAAGGTACGTCCTGTGTTATAGAGTGTAAAATGAAGGTACGTCCTGTGTTATAGAGTGTAAAATGAAGGTACGTCCTGTGTTATAGAGTGTAAAATGAAGGTACGTCCTGTGTTATAGAGTGTAAAATGAAGGTACGTCCTGTGTTATAGAGTGTAAAATGAAGGTACGTCCTGTGTTATAGAGTGTAAAATGAAGGTACGTCCTGTGTTATAGAGTGTAAAATGAAGGTACGTCCTGTGTTATAGAGTGTAAAATGAAGGTACGTCCTGTGTTATAGAGTGTAAAATGAAGGTACGTCCTGTGTTATAGAGTGTAAAATGAAGGTACGTCCTGTGTTATAGAGTGTAAAATGAAGGTACGTCCTGTGTTATAGAGTGTAAAATGAAGGTACGTCCTGTGTTATAGAGTGTAAAATGAAGGTACGTCCTGTGTTATAGAGTGTAAAATGAAGGTACGTCCTGTGTTATAGAGTGTAAAATGAAGGTACGTCCTGTGTTATAGAGTGTAAAATGAAGGTACGTCCTGTGTTATAGAGTGTAAAATGAAGGTACGTCCTGTGTTATAGAATGTAAAATGAAGGTACGTCCTGTGTTATAGAATGTAAGTTGAAGGTACGTCCGGTGTTATAGAGTGTAAAAATGAAGGTTCATTGTGTCATGAAGTGTAAAATGAATGTTCATTGTGTTATGAAGTGTAAAATGAAGGAACGTCCTGTGTTATAGAGAGTAAAATGAAGGTACGTCCTGTGTTATAGCGTGTAAAATGAAGGTACGTCCTGTTTTATAGAATGTAAAATGAAGGTAGGTCCTGTGTTATAGAGTGTAAAAATGAACGTTCATTGTGTCATGAAGTGTAAAATGAAGGTTCATTGTGTTATGAAGTGTAAAATGAAGGAACGTCCTGTGTTATAGAATGTAATATGAAGGTACGTCCTGTGTAATAGAGTGTAAAATGAAGGTACGTTCTGTGAGATAGAGTGTAAAATGAAGGTACGTCCTGTGTTATAGAGTGTAAAAATGAAGGTTCATTGTGTTATGAAGTGTAAAATGAAGGTACGTTTTGTATATACGTAGTCAAACAAATTCATCTGAAGAACTGAAACGCCTAGAGTCACGGTATTTGATTGCTAACTTGTTTTGATATAGCCTTGAGCTATTTTTGATGTCACAGGAGTCACATTGGCGTACACTTGATAAACGTGTATGATATTTGACAGGTTGTAAAATCAAAATAACAAATACCTGGTTTGATATTATAGCCCCCTTTGCTACTTGTATAAGACATGTATACGTTTTATGTTAAGTTATATAAGACATATATGCGTCTTACGTCTAATACTGTTTTACACAAGACATGCATGTGTCTAATTATGTGTTCTATAAGACTGGTATACGTCTTATTCAGGTTATTACTTCACTCTTGGTTATTTTAGGAAGAAGCTCGCCGATTCCGACTGCAGTTCTTAGAGTGTAATGAACAGTCAGACGTGGCGATATGTCGTGAATTCGCTGAAAGGATGTCTGAATATTTCCCAATTAAAGTATTGCCAAATGAAAAGAACATCACACAGGTATGCAGTTTACATGCTATTAAATCGTCCCCATCTCCTTCAACTCGAACAGCTCAGATGATATTGAAAATGATTCAGTATAAATACCTTTGCACTTAGACAACAAAAACTGCGCCGCGATCACATGCTCTTTTCGTGTCGTCAATTATTTATTTTTTTTGACTCAAATATGGGACGTTTTCGTTTGTTTGTAAAGAAAATATATTGCCAGTATTGTAGGGTTATATGTAAAAATGCACACTTCGTGAATGATATTATTCATAGATTACCTAACTGGAACATTCATACTCTTTTTACAGACAATACTGTAAATAATCAGACTTTCCTTTTATCAAGATAATGCGTAGCATTACTTACTTTTTTCATGACACAAAGAGTGATCCAGAGGAGACATCCAAGAAACGTGTTGAAAGGGAGGTAACTCTTTCTAAAATCGCCAAGGTTTGTGACTATTTATTAATTATGAGTAAATGAACTGAGAATCAGGGGTATTCCAAACGCAATATGTTTTAATGACATGATGTACATTACTGTGTCTGGTGTACGGGTCTTTTCCGTGCAGTGATAACATAAAATAAATTATCGAGATTTATTTGGCAAACGTTCATTGCGTATGGAGTAGCCTTACATCATTTTCATGAAATATTCCGTCTTTGCGTATTGCAGAGTTATCTTCTCTTGTGAGCAGGTAGTGATTGTTATGTCATTGGTTTGTGCGAGAAAGTTACATCGTTTTCTCAAAAATTGATGACGTTACTCTCACAAACCAATGACGTAACTATCAATACCTGCTAACAAGAGAAGATAACTCTGCAATACGCAAAGACGGAATACGGTAATAACAGTGTAATCTACGTCTTCTCGTACAGTGTTTGGTAAAATAAATAGCTCTTTAAGACAACCTGTTGCTGTCCTACCATATACATGCAATATATATATTCGCATAAAGAAATATTAATGTCTTTTTCTCTGACACCATCCTATATGTCAGTAAGATGACGTAGCTGTGTTATTTTGTATTATTTAATGGTGGTGTATTAAAATGAAGATTTTTCGTTTAACCATTTTTTCTGAAGGTTGTGACAAAAGCAGAAGATGCCTTGTTCCCGGCAGCGTATCAGAAGTGTTGTTACATACCGAGCGAACAATTAGAACTCGTCCTACGCCTGTGTTTATCGGATCCTACATTTCCAGCGTTTGTCGAGGAAGTTGAGCATAAGTTAAATAAAATAAAAAATAATTGATCAACATTAAACCCTTTTGTTTAAAACTCGTATCAGTTTTTTGGACAGCTAATAACAGGCTTCATTTAGTTAGAATATCAATTAAAATATACTCAACTTTGACTTTATTTAATTAAATAAATATTCAGCATAATACGCTTATAACAAAATTTGAAAGATCTTACTGATGTAGAAGCATTTGTCGACAAATGTACGTAGACCTGTCAGCACACACATACAATGTCAGCACACACATACAATGTCAGCACACACATACAATGTCAGCACACACATACAATGTCACCACACACATACAATGTCACCACACACATACAATGTCACCACACACATACAATGTCACCACACACATACAATGTCACCACACACATACAATGTCACCACACACATACAATGTCACCACACACATACAATGTCACCACACACATACAATGTCACCACACACATACAATGTCACCACACACATACAATGTCACCACACACATACAATGTCACCACACACATACAATGTCACCACACACATACAATGTCACCACACACATACAATGTCACCACACACATACAATGTCACCACACACATACAATGTCACCACACACATACAATGTCACCACACACATACAATGTCACCACACACATACAATGTCACCACACACATACAATGTCGCCACACACATACAATGTCACCACACACATACAATGTCACCACACACATACAATGTCACCAAACAATGTTTTGATCAACCTCATGCCTATACAGATACATTCTGAAAACATTTTTAAACATTTAATATGAAGTTCGGATGTCGTTTTTTAATGAAGCCAGTAACCTAAATCATCGTACTTTAAAAAAAAATTCAAAGATGTCTTGAGATTTGCGTCGGCAAATCGTGATAAATATTATATGGATATTGCCATGCATTTGATAAGTATGTTGCAATTTTAAACATGACCTGGTGATGGATGTCAATTACATTGTACATTTAAAACAAATGATTTCGGTTGGGAAACGGCAAACACAGCTACTTTATATACTTGTGTGGGATCACACTACGTTACAAATGGGTTACACGATGTGCGACGTGGGAACGATACACAATGTGCAAATGATAGAAAGCTGGGTAGTAAAAGCTGCCGCACACCTGTGCGCACGATGGACGCATGGTCTGCTATGAATCGTGGGACATTTTTGGGACACATGAGACGGATTCTGTCCCGAGCGTAGTGATCGAGGCGGCAGACACAGGGTAACACGCTCCTGTTGATACCGAGGAGCTGGCCCATTCAGTGCCTTGTATGTGACCACCAACATCATGCACTGCGACTTGTATCTAGCACTGGTCTGACGTGTTCTCTCTTTCGAATATGAGTAACCAGACCCGCTTCGGTGTTTTGGACCCTCAGTAGATGGCTAGTTGGTTTGTAAAATATACTACAGATCAGGGCATTACCATAGTCCAACCAAGAAGTAATAAAGTGTTGCAGGCATCTGCTGCAGTTATAAACTGGCGGATACACTCGATGTTCCTGATCTGATAGTAACAGGATTTGGCAATATCGTTCACTTGTTTCTCCGTGTTTAGAGAGCTATCAAAGTATACCTCAAGGTTTTAAACATCTGGGACAATCTCTATCGTTATGGTACCAACTTTGAGCTGGAGAGCCATTGTTTGCTGACACTTCGGGGAAAGACGATCAGTTGTTTACGTTCAGGTATCCCAACTTTCCAAATGTCGTCAGCATGACAATGATAGCGAAGGCTATAGCAAAAACAAATCTCTCCGATCGGTTTGAATATAGATAATATTTTCGTGGTCCTTACACCAATTCTTGAGGAACCCGGACATCTAGTATTTTGTCATGTGAGGTGGTAGATCCTATTGCAACACACTGTCGTCGTTCAATCAAATATAACTGTATCTAGCATATAGCGTCACCAGTCAGTCACTCCATAAGAGGTATCTAGACGTTTGAAAATTGCCAGGTCGATGACGTCAAATGCAGCTGACAAGTCCAGCATGACAAGCACCGTTCTACTCTTGTTGTCCAATACGACAGCTATGTCGGTATGTATATGTATGATGACCGGCTCAGTAGAGTGTCGTCAAATTTGGCAAAGTGTAGGATTTTCTTCAATGACATATATACTGCAAAGACTTACCCTTCATAAAATAATATTATTGTCTGGAAAACATCAATTCGTCCGCAATTATTACAGATAATATCATAGTCGACAGTAGAGTGCACTTCGCCTGATCGTGCTTATCTCTTTCAGAAAGTAATAAGTTAGTTTAGCTTGTTGGACAAGTCTTTTTCAGAAGAGGAGCTTGTTGGATGATTTCACCTTTTTTGGTGAGTCTAGAAAACTGCCTATGGTTCCAACCACATAATGTGGTTTAAACAAAGCGTAACCGAATCAAGTCATTTCGGTACATATATAACAACTAATTGTACATCCGCTTACACCGCAACCGAATCGAAATCGATTTTAGGACAACTCGTACACAAAGTATAAATGCTTCGTACATAGTATATAATTATGTCTCGTTTGTGTTCCACCCAAAAGTGTACCGTCATACAGAAACATAGTATTAATGCTTCGTTTGTGTACCAAACAAAAGTGTGACGTATTGTCAAAGGACAAAGCCACGGTGGAGTACTACTCGCTATCACAATCAAATACATCACACAACAACTTCCAGAATTAGAATCCATTTGGGCCAACATCAAATTATCAAACTCACACAACTTCATAGTAGGTGCATACTACAGACCACCATCAGACAAAGGACGTTCACTCACAGAACTCGAAATATCCCTGAACAGAATAGGAACACAGAACAACACAATAACATTTATTAGCGGAGACTTCAACCTCCCACACATATATTGGTCAAACAACACCAGGCAAACCAGACACAACCCTACATCAACGCCTTCTAGACATCATCGACGACAACTCTCTCACCCAAACCATAGACAAACCCACAAGAGGAGAACACATCCTTGACGTAACACTCACAAATCGTACATCCATCATCAATAAACAAGAAATAGTCCCACCGATAGGCAAGACAGATCACGACATCATATATACAGAAGCAGACATTAGACTACAAAAAACACACAAACCACCTAGAAACATTAACCTATATAACAAAGCAAACTGGGCCAACATCAAAAAAGACCTCACTAATCAAAATAACAACATTCAGGACCTAGATCATCAAAACACAGAAGACCTATGGGTAAGTTTCAAAACAACACTCCATACATCTACAGAAAAAAACATTCCAATAAAATCACTAACATACAAACACAGACTACACTGGATAAACAACTCACTTCGCCGCCTCTCAAACAAGTCTAAACGCATCCACAAACCAAGAACAAATCACAAACTTATCCACACGTACAAAACAGTAAAAGCTGAAGTGCAAAACAAACACGCAATACATACCCACAATACATTGAGAAGATGATCACAGACCTACCAACAGGCGAACCTGAAGACCCCAACACAAGGAACAAATACAACCCGAAAAAACCCTTCTTTTTCATTAATACCACAAAAAAGAAACACAGACATCATAGCACTACGTAAAAACGGCCACCTCACAACAGACCCAGAAACAAAGGCAAACATACTAAATTAACAGTTCCAAGAAGCATTCACACCAGAACAACACACAACAATACCTGACAAAGGAATATCACCTCATCCACCCATGCGAGATATACACATAACATGCCAATGAGTCGACTAACTACTAAATAACATTAAACCACACAAAGCAACAGGCCCAGACCATATACACGGCAGAATACTAAAAGAGCTCAAGGATATCACAGCACCGATGCTAACAAAAATATTCCAAATATTACTCAATACAGGAACATTACTCAATGACTGGAAATACGCCAACGTAAACCCCATATACAAAAAAGAAGACAAATACAACCAAACAAACTACAGACCAATATCACTCACATGCATCGCATGCAAACTCTTAGAACACATCATCACAAGCGCAACCATGAAACACTTAAAAGACAACTAAATACTGCACGACCTACAACATGGCTTCCGCACATCAAGATCTTGCGAAACACAACTCATTACATTCATACAAGTCCTCGTACAGAACCACAACAACAACAAACAAACAGACATTATCATAATGGACTTTGACAAAGTCCCACACAAACACCTACAGTACAACCTCAATTATTACGGCATCACCGAAACCACACTAACATGGATAACAGACTTCCTATCACAACGCACCCAAACAGTAGTACTTGAGGGCAAACACTCCGACAAAATCCTAGTAACATCTGGAGTGTCTCAAGGGACCTGTTTTGGACCAGTCCGCTTCCTCATATACATCAACGAATTCCCCGAATACATATCACACAGTACACTAAGACTTTTTGCAGACGACAGCATACTATACAAAACAATCAACAACAAAGACGACACGACAAAACTACAAGCGGATTTAGATGCAGCTAGTAAATGGGAAGAGGACTGGCTCATGAAATTCCACCCAGACAACTGCACCATACTCACTATATCACCAATACACACTCCATTTAACACCAATACACACTCCATGACCACAGACTAGAAGATGTAACTTCAAACAAATATCTAGGCATCACACTTCAAAACAACTTAAAATGGGACAAACACATTAACAACATTACATCAAATGCAAATATATCACTAGGCTTTCTGAAACGCAACCTAAAATTAAATTCACCACACATAAAAGAACATGCATTCAAGGCCATTGCTAGACCAAACCTTGAATACTGCTCTTCAGTTTGGGACCCACATTATACAAATAAGATAAACCAATTAGAAAAAGTACAACGAAGAGCAGCACGATATGTCCTTAACAAATACCATAACACAAGCTCAGTCACATATATGATACACAACTTGCAATGGCCAACACTACACACACGCAGAACAAGAACACGTATTATTCTTCTCTACAAAATAATACACCAACAAGTAACAATACACACTAACAATCTCATCCCGGCAGA